AACCTATGCCCCGATAACATATAACAGCGCACGCGGTTTTGCAGCATCCGCTTTCAAATCAACCAGCGCACGCGCCCTTGCGAATGTTCAGGAAAACCATGCGTCTCTCAACATCGTCATCGCATTCTGACAAACGGGCCCCTCGCGTCGCATGCCGAACTCATCCGAGCGCCCTCGCGAGCCAGCTGCGGGGGGGGGGGCGCGATTCGCGTTGAATAATGCCGCGCGGGCCACTCGCGCGCGTCGGCCGCGCGCGCGTTTCGAACCTGACGCGAGGACATCGTCATCGTTATCGGCGGGCGTCTTCAATGTCGGCGCCGTCACTGGCCTTGCCGTCGTCATCGCCGCGATCGCGATCATCGTCGCGATTCCCATCGTCGCGCCCACCGCTGTCGGCGTCGCCATGATGCCGCGCCCGCCCAAGTCACCGACTCGCACTGAAGCGCCCGCTGGGAAGCGCCCAGCAGTCAGCGCCACCGCGGCCGCGTCGGTCGCGCCGCGCATGCTGGCCGCTGCGCGCGAGAGCATGCGCGGGCTTGCGCGGCCGCAGGGATGCACCAGGCAACCCACAGCATTCATCGCAACCGCCGTCGCACGGGTTCTGTAAACCACGTTGTGGGCACGGGCGCGCGCGCAGCGGCCAGCTCGTCCGGCGCGACCGACGCGGCCGCGGTAGCGCTGACTGCCGGGCGCGCCCCAGGGGGCACTTGAGTGCGAGTCGGCGACTTGGGCGGGCGCGGCATCGTGGCAGCGTCGGCAACGGTAGACGCTGCGATGATAGCGGCGATGCTTGCGGCGATGTCGACAACGACGACGGCGCGGCCAGTGACGGCGCCGATGCTGATTACGCCGATGGCGATGACGGCGTCCTCGCGTTGGAGGTGGAGGTTTTCGACGGAGTTTGACATGCGCGCGCGGCCGACGCGCGCGAGCGGCCGCATGGAATGATTCGACGCGGATCGCGCCCCTCCCCCCCCGCCGGCACGCGCGCAAGGGCGTTGGAATGGTTTCGGCATGCAGCGCGGAATGGCCCATTTGGCAGAATTGCATGAACATGCTGACAAACTGGTGGTTTCCTGATTTCGCAAGAGCGCGAGCGCGTGCTTCTTTGAAAACTGATGCAGCGAAACCATATGTTTCCTATGGTTTCGGGACAGTCGGTATTGAGCTCCTCACGAAACCTAACAAGTGCGTGAAAAAATTCGGCATGCGCGCGCGACGACGCGCGCGCGTGCACCCCATCATCTCCGTCATACTTTTGTAAAAGGGTTCTCGCGACTGCACGCGCGCAAGGGTGTTCGAGCGATTTCAACATGCCCGCGCGCGAAGCTCGTTTGGTAGCGTTGTGTATATATATATATATATATATATATATATATATATATAACGGACGGCTCTCGTAATAATTCACAAAAGCGCGCGCAAGCTTTTTCCGTTTGTCTGAAAATCCGCGCTGCGATCCCATATGTTTTGATGTGCATTTTGGACTCTTGATTTTGAAATCCTTGCGCAACCCAGAGTTTTTGAAGGATTTCGGCGAGCGCGCGCGACGACGCGCGCGCGCACTTCGTCTCGAGGGATTCCTGACAACTAATGATTTCTGATGAACGAATGCGCGCGCGTACAAATTGTTGAATCAGATGACGGGGAGGGGAGGGCCACGCCGGCCTGCCTGGGGCGGCATGAATTAACATCTAAGATGGGCGATGGGGCAGAATCACGCGCAAATTGCAATGCGGAAAGGAATGCGGATCACCCGAGGGATGGGGGGGGGATCTAAACTGGAAGTTAATTTCGGTTCGCAGTGAGTTGTCCACTCCGCGGTTCGCGCGATCACCCGGCCCGCCCGCCCTCAACTTGCCCTGCAAAACCCATGCGGCGGCGATTGCGATGGTGCTTGGCGTCGGCTGGTGCATCTCCGCGGCCGCGCTAACCCGCGCGTGCTCGCGCGCGCAGCGGCCGGCTAGTTTGGCGCGACCGACGCGGCCGCGGTGGCGCTGACCGCCGGGCGCGCCCCAGCGGGCGCTTGAATGCGAGTCGGCCAGCGACAAGGGCTGGCGCGGCATCGCGGCGACCTCGGCAATGGTAGACGCGACGACGACGGCGGCGACGCGGGCGACGATGGCGACAACGACGACGGCGAGGCCAGCGAAGCGCCGACGCCGATCGCGCCGACGACGACGACGGCGCCATCGCGTCGGCAATGACGGTTTTGAAGGAAGTTCGACGTGCGCGCGCGGCCCCGCGCGGCATTATTTGGCACGGGTCGTGCCCCCCTGGCACGCGCGCATGGGCGCTCGAACGGTTTCGACATGCGGCACAATGAACCCGTTTGGCCGGATGTAATGGACACGTTGAAAAAGCGATGGTTGTCCTAAGATTTCGCAAGAGCGCGAGCGCGCGCATTTTTCCAAACTGAGGTTGCAATACTGAGTATTTACATATTTTCGGGGCGCTGGGCCCACAGGTGGGGCGTTCTCCCCCCGTTCGCTCTCCCTTCCTCCTGCGCCGCCATGGCGCTGCCAGACGCGCGCTGTCGCCGCCCTCGGCTGCCGGCAGCCAGCGCCCGTGCCTGCCCTGGGCCTGGTCGTGGCGCCCGCCGATGGCGCCGCGGTCTGGACCGGCTCCGCCCGCGCCCGCTCTGGGGCTGGGCAGCCATCCGGCCGCGATGCTGATCGCCGCGCGCCCTCTCGCCCCTCGCGCTGGGCCCTGCCCCCGCCGGGCCCGCTGGCGCGGCAGCCGCCGCGGGCTCGCCGGCGGGGCCGGCCGCGCCGCTCGCTCGGGGGGCGACCCCCCCCCATAGGCTCAACGAGTTAAAAAAATACCTCGTTCAAGGTTGTTTTTTTTTTAAAGTAGTTCTTTTTTTTATAAGTAGCGTTGTATTTTTAAGTAAGACTTAAATCTCAGACATATTTTTATCACATCGAAAACGTATCAGCAGAGTAGTACGAACTAGTCGTAGGCCTTCGCTGGCCCGACAGAAAGTCCGTATCCCGCAAGGCCTTCCTCAGGCCCAGGAGGTCCCAACCCGCTATGGAATGGCCTCGAGAGGGTCGGCGGATTTACAAGGGTCGGCGAAACGAGGGCATATAACGCGCGCGGGTGGCCCCAGCGGGAGAGGCATGCACGCGCGCCCGTGGCCCCAGCGAGGGTTGGCGGTGAACAGGGGGCGCCAGGGGAGGAGGAGGTGGGGGGGGGGGAGGAGAAGGAGGAGGAGGAGGAGGAACAGAACAAAGGAGGATAATGAGGATGATGAGGAGGATATGAGGAGCAGGAAAAGTGCAGGCAGGAGTATGAGAAGGGCGACTAGGAGGAGGAGAGGGGGAGAGAATAAGTTGGACGTGGAGGGATAGAGGAGGTGGCGGCGGAGGAAGAGGGAGATACGGAGTACGAGGGCGAGGGAGAAGAGGGCTCAGGAGAGCGCGAGTGAGACGAGGGCTGCTCACCCGCATTTGACCCCGCGGGGTCGGCGGAATGGCGGCTTGCATGTGATCTTGCATGCGTGCTTGTTATTTCTTTGGTGGGGCCAGGGGGTTGCATGGGAGGGGGTCGTGGAGGGGGTGGGTGGTGGGTGGTGGATGGGGTGCTTGTCTGGATGGGGTGGTCGTCTGGTTGGTTTCATGGGGTGTTCGTCTGGATGCTACTTGGGCCTCTAGGGCGTACTAGGCTTCTTGGGCACCTCTGTCTCTGTTTTTGTTTGGTTTGGTTGCAATTTTGGGCACTCTGGCTTGGTGGCCTCATCGATTCGGGCGTCTTGGATTTCGTCATGGTAGCGTCTTGGGCCTTCCCAGTCAGGCGCAGGGCTCTCTGTCCCGCCTTGCCGCCCCTGTCCTCTTTCGTATTCGTTGCCATCCGCAACTTCCCCCTCGTGATCCTCCTCTTCCTCCGCCTTCTCCTCCTCCTCGTCCCCCCCCCTCCTGATCATCCTCACCATTTACCCTCGCCCGCTCTTTCCTCGTCCTTCGATCCCAGTCGGCAGCCGTCGATCACCCTTGCTTCCTCCTCCTCATGTGCATCCTTCACCGTCTCCGCCTCCTCTCACACATCGCCCGCCCGTCCTCCTCCTCCTCCCCCTCCTCCTCCTCCTCCTCCTCCATGGCAGTTCCTCCTCCTCCAGCTCCTCCTCCTCCTCCTCGTCGTCGTCGTCCCCCTCCTCCTCCATTTCCCTTATCCTCCCTCTCCCCTTCCCCCCCCCCCGTCTTCCTCATGGTCCGCATCGCCGTGCCCCTCCACCTCTTCAATATCCTCCTCCTCCTCCTCCTCCTCCTCCTCCTCCTCCTCCTCCTCCTCCTCTTCCTCTTCCTCGCCCCCGCCCCGTCTTCCGCGTCCTCCCCCCTCATGTGAGTTTCCTCCGCATCCTTCCCATCTTCCTCATCCGCCTCATCCTGATCCCTCTTCCACCTCTCCCCCTCCCTCCCGCTGCGCCTTTGCAGTGGCACTCGTGGATCAGGCGGAGGATGAAGACGGGGAGGCGGCGGCGGAGATTGATGACATGAGAGGGGGGAGGAGGAGGCAGAGGACGGGGGCAAGGGCGAGGAGGAACTATTGAGGAAGTGGAGGGTGATGCGGAGGGTGGCGATGAGGAGGAGGGGCAGGCGGAGGAGGAGAAGATGGGATGGGCGAGGAGGGGTGGGGGGGGGGATCGGATGGGATGTTGAAAGAGAAGGCGGACAAGGAGAACGATGAGGACGGCGAGGATTGGGAAGAGAAGGATGAGGAGGAGGAGGAGAGGAAGGAGGATGAGGAGGAGGAGGAGGAGGAGGAGGACGACGAGGAGCTCTAGGAGGAGGGCCCTCATGGGCCCTCATGGGCTCTCATGGGCCCTCATGGGGCCGCGAGAGGGCCCTCATGGGCCCTCATGGGGCCCTCATGGGGCCCTCATGCGGAGCGGCCTCGCTGTAACTTGTCAGTGGCCGTTTTTCGGCTCAGCCGCTCGGCGACGCCGAGCGAGGCCATTGCGGCGAGTTTTTCGAGACGGCGTGCCCTCTCTTCACTTGGCGATGCCGCGTGGTGATTGCCCTCGCCGTGGCCCCGTGGGCGACGCTGACACTGTCGGCTTGACCAGGGCGTTGCAGTCGTTCGTGGACGCCAACTTGGACGAGGACGCCGCGCGGGAGGACGGTTGCTTGCTGAAGTTGTTCGACCTCGGCGAGCACATGACACGCAAGGGCCCGTCCACCTTCAAGGACCCTCCGAAGATGCGCACGATTGCTCGGAACGCTGATGTGATCAAGATCATCGCGCGGTACAGTCCCAAAGGCGACGGCAACGTGAAGCACGACGAGTTGAGGAGGTGTTTCGCTTCGGTGTTGGAGAGTCGCGCTTCTAGCTCGTACTTCAAGCAGAATGTTCGCCACACGGCTGACATGCTGAGCAACAAGTTTAGGATGATGGTTGCCGACGTGGCGCTTCTCTTGTCTAAGAAGAGCGGCTACAAGCAACTCATCATCGCGTTGCCAGATCGGGCGAGGACGACCTTGATGCAACTGTTGGGCGACGTGGAGACCATCCGCGACTTGCGCTACCAGCAGATCACGGACGGCTTGGAACGCGACGATTTCGACCTCGGCTCCGACAAGTGCGTTACCGAGTTCTGCGCAGCGCCGAAGGACGGCGAGGAGGCGGTGAAGGCCGCTGGCGAGCCAGCCGACGAGATCGCGGCGGAGCCCGCAGCCGCGGACGAGGCAGTTGCAGCGTTCGAAACCATTCAGAGAGGACCCAGGACCTGCTCAGGAAAACTATGAGGATGGAACGGCGGCGGGGGAGGAGCAGGGGGAGGAGGAGGAGGGGGAGGAGGGGGGAAGGCGAGGGAGGGGGAGGGGGCAGGGGGAGATGGAGGAGGATGGAGGGACGGGGGAGCAGGATGGAGAAGACGGCAGGAAGGAGAATGATGAGAAGGATGAGGATCCTGCAGCGGAGGGGCCATAGGGAGGAGGAGGAGGAGGAGGAGGAGGAGGAGGAGGAGGAGGAGGAGTTAGACGAGGAGGAGGAGGATGAGGAGGAGGAGGAGTGGCCACGGCGCTGACGCTGATGGCGGCAACGCGGTGGTGAGGGTGGAGCTGGAAGCTACGGTGGTGGGGATGGGAGCCATGAGGCCGCGTCTTGATGCTTGCCACCGTCGTCGTTTGACGCGCGATGGCGGCGAGCGTCGAGACGCGGCCTCATCGCCCCCGTTGGTCGGGCTTGGTTTCGTACGATTGCTCCTGCCTGCAGGTACCTGGCGCGGCCCCCTCGAGTGGCGTCGGCGTCGGCGTGGCGTTGGAGTTCGACGTTGGCAGCGGCTTCGGCTTCCTGAAGTCCGCGCGGGCCAACGCGGGCAAGGGCAAGGGCAGTGGCACTCTGGCCGAGCAGGAAGGGTTCGCGGCGCGTGCCATCAAGAAGGGCGTCAAGAAGGCCCACGTGAAAGCCGCGGCCAAGGCCAAGGCCAAGGCTAAGGCCAAGGCCAAGGCCAAGGCGCGCGCGAAGGTGGTGGCAAAGGCTTCGGTTGCTAAGGACTCGTCTTGGTGGTCGGAGAAGGTCTACAACGCCCGCGTCGTGCAGGCGAGCAGCCCGAAGCGGACGTGCATCGTCGGCAGTTCCAAGAGCAACCCGACGAAGAAGCGCTTGATCACGGAGATCACCGAGGCGCAGCACCAGGACCATTCTAGGTTGGCCCACCGCATCTTGGTGCGGATCGAGAAGGGCAGCGTGAGCAAGCACGACGCGCTGAAGCTTCGCGCGGAGATGCTGAAGTGAAGGTGCTGGCTGCAGGCTCGCCGCGTTCAGAGGTCCGCGTGCTCCTGGGTGGGAGATTCGGTCCGAGGACCATCGAATCCTTGATTCGGGCCCGCTGGCTGGCCCGTGAGTGGATGCGGAGGAGGAGGAGGATGAGGAGGAGGAGGGGGAGGAGGAGGAGGCGGAGGAGGAGGAGGAGGGAGTGGATGAGGAGGGGGAGGAGAAGGAGGAGGAGGAGGAGGAGGAGAGGGGGAGGAGGAGGAGGAGGATCAGGAAGGGGATTAAGGGAGAGGAGGAGTAGGAGGGAGTAGGATGGAGAGGAAGATGCGGAGGGCGAGGCGAAACAGGAGGATGAGGAGGAGGATGAGGATGAGGGAGAGGATGAGGGCGAGGAGGAGGGGGAGGAGGATGAGGAGAGGGAGTAAGAGGGAGGAGGAGGAGGGAGAGGATGAGGATGATGAGGCGAGGGGGTAGGATGAGGGAGAAAGAGGGAGAGGGAGATGAGGCGAGGGAGAGGAGGATGAGGGAGAGGGTGAGGATGAGGGAGCAGGAGGGAGGCGAACGCTATGCACGCTTCAACGGCAGGTCGGCGCCCCCACCCCCAACGAGCGGAACGCCGATGCTGAAGTCCCGATGCGCTCGCATTGACCTCGGCCGACGCTTCGGGGCGCCTGAAAAAATGCACAGCCCTTGAGATCCAGAGTTTTTTTTTCACAGGCCCACGTGGGCCGCTCGCCCACAACGTCTCCGACGTGCCCCGCCCCCCCCAAACTATCCCCCCCCCCCCCCCTCCCCTCCTATCCCCCCTTTCCCCTCCCCAACTCCCACTCCAACTCCTTCTGACCCCGTCCTCCGCCTATCCCTTCCACCCCCTTTCCTCCAGCCCCTCCTCCGTCATTTTTGACATGTCTGCAAGTTTCTGGGCCGAGCCTCAGCGATGGCGTTTGATTTTGGAGATGCCGTTTTCACGGTTGACGCTGCCCTCAACCCACGTTCATCGGAGGCGGAATGGCGCGCTGGCATTAGTCAGCACGCGTCGGAGTCTGGCGGTTCCCAGCAGCGGGCTGCAGCAGCGGCCCAGCCCGCGGTTCATTCCGACGATAAGTTAGGACCGAGGGCGGAGGAATGTCACATTCGCCGCTGAGGGGGGCGGTCGGGCCCTCCCCACCGGCTGCCGCCCTCAGCGGCAGCTTTGGTGGCCGTCCACCGCCCTGCAGGAAAGCACTTGATCTTGGAGTTCAGCTGGGGCGCGCTGACTGCCATCGATTGCCAGCGTCTGACGAAGCTGGCGTGCGACGACGGCGCGAGGGGAGTTATATCGTGGAGGATTGCAACTACTGGCACGATGGGACAGAACAAGCAGAACTGTCACAGGGAGCTCATCCGCATCTGCGAGAAGCTCCTTGGAGGCCGCAAGTTCGAGAGTTCGATCTGCAAGTTGCCCATGGTTGTCACCAGGGGGGAAGACATTGGCCCACAGCCAGTCATGCACGGCTACATCGACCCCCATGAGTGGTTCAGTTTCTTGTGCCACAAGTTCCCTGATACGTGGCATCGAAGATTCCTTGGCACGGGCAAGAGCGAGACCAGGTTGCGTGACTTCTGGAGGGGGCATGCACAAAGATGATCCTCGGAGGCCTATCGAATGGGACGCAGAATTCTTCAACACGAGAGCCATTCCTATTGGTCTGCATGGGGATGGGGCCCCAGTCATTCGGATACTTGGTTTGATGTCTATCGTTTGGTATGGGTTGTTGGGCGCGGGATCGACGGACGACGTCTTGAATTTGATTTCGTGCTACTTCGGCGAACTGGAAGTTGGCAATTTTCACGACTACGAAGGTGAGAGCACTAAAGATACTTTCTGGAAGCGCATCATCTGGAGCTTGAAGGCCTTACTGGGGGGCAAGTTTCCATACCGCGACTGGGGGGGCAAGGTGATCGTCGGGGACGACAGGGTCGGCAAGGATTTGGCCGATGGTTTCTTCTGGCAGGTCATTGTGCCCAAGGGCGACATGGAGTTCCTCGTCAACCACATCGGTGTTCCTGGGCATTGGAGTTCCAATAGCCCGTGCTTGGCGCGTGAGGCAACAAAGATCGGGACTGGCGCAATGGCTTGGAACAACTGGGACCCTGATGCTCCTTGGCGGGATACGGTTTTCATGTCGAAAGCTAAGTGGCGCGAGCACTGCATCAAGGTGAAGAAGGACGTGCATTTGTTATTTCGAGAGGCTGATGATGGCGGCCTGGGCCTTCATCCATTCGTCATGATGCGCGGCGCGATGCATTGCGTCGATCTCGGTGACGCATTGCACGTTGCTGGAAACGTGTTGTTCCACATGTGTTACAGCGACATGATCAAGGCGAACGACCCCGCGGGGGCTTGCGATTGGCTTTGGAAGGAGATTTCTAAAATTTACAAGGCCGAGCGGACGCCCACTCGTTTTTCGTTCTTGGACCTCGCGTTCTTCACAGCCCCTGATAGGCCGATGGAGAAGGCGCCGCTACTCAAGGGGCACGCCGCGGAGACTAGGCACCTGATCCCAATTCTCGACAAGATATTCAAGGTGAAGCATCGCCCCAAGAACCAGTACGAGCACCTCATTAGCAAGCTCCTCAGCAGCCTGACAATGATCTACAAGTACCTCGACACCAATGACGGCGGCGAGAAGCCGTTCTACCTTGACGAGACCAAGGTCGTGAAGCCGCTTCGCCAGAACATCGACTTCTTCTTGCAGGCGTACCAGGAATGTCAGAGGATGGGCAAACTGTTGCATGACAGGGCTGACTTTTGGCACGAGGTTCCTAAATTTCATGGTCTCTGGCACGTTGGCTTCGAAGCGCAGTTCATGAACCCCGACGTGGCCAAGTGTTACATCAACGAGGACTTCCAGCAGCGGATGAAGGGGCTTGGGGCGTCTGTTCGGCACGGGTCGATTGCCGCAAAGCGTTCTGCAAAGATATGTTCGAAGTGGGTGTACGGCGCGTTGTTCAGGATCGTTTTCAGCTCCGAGGCCGTCCGCCAGTGACCCCGAATGCACAGCACGTGCGACTTCTAACATGTCTCGGGAGGCGGGTGTTCGCGTGGCAGCCAAACTCCTTCAATCCACAATTCCGCTACTCCTCCTCCCTCTCTCATTCCAATGCCCAACCTTCGCCACCTCTTTTCCCGCGTCTCCCTGACTCTCCACCTCCCTCCCCCCCGACCTATCTCTCCCTTCCATCCACGCCCCCGCCCCTCCCCCCCTCCTCATCCACCCTCATCCTCTCTGCAATTACTTCTGCTTCCATCGGAGCCACCCTCGCGCAGATTGCCTTCTGGGGGCGGCAATATCGCCTAGGACCTGGGGGCGACACGCGAGAAGTTTGCCTCGATGGAGGAGGGGAGAGGGGGGGGTGAGCGGAGAGGGGCGAGGGCAGGGGGTCTGGGGGGGCCGAGGGAGCTCAGAGACCACAGGAAGGACGGGACCCCCCATGCCCCCCTCCCGTGGGAAGGGGGGCCAGGAGCTCAACATGTTGCAACATGTTGCAAAATGCTATGAGCATTTTGTAAAATGCTACAAATGTTAAACGATCGCAGTTAACATGTTATATCATGTTGCAGAATGCTTTCAATGCGTTGAGAGATTGTTAACAAAATGCATGCACGATATCATCAAATCGATGCATTTTGTGAACATCTGGTCAACATGTTGTGAAATTTCACATCATTCGGCTAACATCCTGCAATATGCTACAACATGTTACTGAAGCTACATACACATTTTGCAACATTTTGCAAAATGTTACGCCATGGTCCGAAGCATTTTGAAGCATTTTATCAATATGCTGATTTCGCCAAACAGCACCGGTGCACCGGCTCGGCGGGGGCTGGGCGGGAGGGGGGGAGGGGGGCGGGGAGCGGGGTTGGAGAGGGGGAGGGTGGGGAGGGAGGGAGGCGGGTGGGAGGGGGGGAGGGCGGGGGAGGGGGAGGGAGGGAGGGGGGGGAGGGAGGGGGGAGGCGGTGGAGGAGGTGGACTAGAGGGTTGCCGCGTTTGGGCAAACACTGATAACGTTTGATCCGCGCGTATTCGGCCTGCGATCAGCGCCTCGCTGTCGCTATGGAGACGTTGCCACCGCTGGATTCACCTCGACAGAGAGGCGTTTGCATGGCCCCGTTTGGGGCCATTCTTGTTTGCATTATTGTTGGCCGCTGGTCGGCTTCAGGCCGATGATAGGCTTCAAAGGTTCTTGATTGTTTTCCAGACTGTGCGGGTCAGGCGCGCGCCTGCATCGTTTGGTGGTTGACGCGTTTACAGAGGCGTGACAGTTCGATCGGTATCTCGATTTTGGCTAAAACGATCGGTTCAGCTTATTCTTGCTGCCTGACTTCAGTGGATATCGGCCACCGCTCTGCAGAGCATGGCGCCGAAGTTGTCCGCGATGAAGAGGCCAGCTGCCGCGGCGGCCACCAAGAAGACGATCAGGACGAAGGCCGCCCCGATCATCACCCCGCAGAAAACGTCTCTCCGCAGGCCATCAAGCGTGGAGAGCAGCGTCAGCCCCACCAACCGAGTCACCAGCATCGAGTTGGACGGGCAGATGGTCGAGATCACGCCGAAGGACCGCAGGGGGTTCAACAATGCGAAGGGCGAGGCGGACCCTGCAATCCTGGAGGACTTGCGCAACAAGAGCGAGCTCGGCTACGGCTTGGGGAAGCAGCTGCAGCTCAACAAGCGGATTGCAGCATGGAAGCTTCAGGGGTGGGACCACCCGATGTTCAAGGAGACTATCAAGTACAAGGAGGAGATGAGTACCACGCAGCGTAAGCACGGCATGGGCCTCGTCAGGGCGAAGGCGCACTGGGGCGGAGCCGCTCAGCTGAAGGCGGCCATCGCGACCAAGGAGTGCACCGTCAAGAGGATCGATGGGGAAGAGTGGTACTTCGACTCCTCGATCATCGCCGACCTCGGCAAGCATCTCGCAGGTGAGAAGGAGCTGAGCGTTGGTGGCAATCTGGAGCTCGACAGTCTCGGCCTGTCCTCGATGCAGAGGTTCCTCAATGACACGACTAAGGGCTTCGACCTGGGTGAAGACGTGGAGGTTGACGACGGGGCGCTGAGGGGGCTCGACGACGAGGCGCGGATGCAACCTCGTGGCTCCCCTCGGGGCGGCGACGACGACGAGGCCGATGCGAAGGAGTTCGATGCCTCGATGGAGCGGGCTCGCAACGCACTGAAGAACCTCCAGGGCTTGCGCAACAAGATCACGGAGCTCGAGGGCGAAGCCAACATTGGCTCGAGCGCTCGCAAGAGCAACGTCAAGAAGACCATCGAGAAGGGCTCCGAGATCGACGCGCTCATCAAGGGGTACCAGGACCTCGTGGGGACCAAATCGCTCCCAGGTCATCGCAAGACTACGGCCGAGGACATCCGCAAGAAGATCACGCATGACAGCAAGATTGGCAACACGAGCGTGGCCATGATTCGGGCTATCAACGAGCTTGGCGATTGAGCAGGCCTACTAGAAGCTGAGAGACTTGCTCTCTACCGCCATCTACGTGAGCCATGGCAGACTCCATCTTACTTCTGGACCTCCTTCTGGCGGCGCAGTGGACGCCTCTCTACTTCCTGATCGCAACTTCCTGGATCATGCAGCGCGTGGTTGCCCCCTCGTAGCGGTTATGGCGCTACCTATGGCTTGACCCGCCAGCTACATGTGGCAGTTAATCGCATGGCCCTTGCGAGGGCTGGAGCGATTGCGCGCCTGGCTCAGCTGTGCGAGAGACAACATTTGCTACAAATGTGCTGAAAACATGGCACAAGCGAGGGAAGGGGGCAGAGGGGAGGGATGCTGGGGCGGGTCAGGGGAGGAGCGAGGATGGCACGGACAGCAACATAGGATCAGGAGGTGGGGAGAGGGGCAGGAAGGGGGTAACTAGACATCGGCGGTTTGCATCTTGGCGGCTTCGTGGGTAAAAAACTTCTGGGAAATCCCTGGGGCAGCCTTGGGACTTCTGGGACATCCCTGGGACTTCTGGGACACCCCTGAGATTTCTCAGGCAGCCTCGGGAACCGACGCCGCCCTGCAGCCCCGCTCCAATCCCCCTCCTCAGAAACGGACGGGAGGCTGAGGGGGTCGGGGAGGTGGGTGGGTGGGGGCCCCACTCTTCTGAGGGGGCTTGCTTCCCCCCACGCAGGAGGCGGAGGGGGAAGAGGAGGAGGAGGTGGAGAAGGAGGAGGGGGAGGAGGAGAAGAGGAGGAGGAGGAGGAGGAGGAGCAGGAGGCGGAGGAGGAGCGAGGAGCAGAGGAGGAGGACCCCCCCTCCTCCTCCTCCCTCTCCTCCTCCTCCTCATCTCACCCTCCTCATCCGTCCTCCTCCTCCTCCTTCATCTTCTCCTCCCCATCCTCATCCTCGTCTCTCCTCCTCCTCTCCCCCCTCCTCCTCCCCCTCCTCCCCCTCCTCCTCCTCCTCCTCCTCCTCCTCCTGATCCCCCCCCCCCCCCTCCGTCTCTTTTTCATCCACGCCCGCCTTCTCCTTTTCCTCCGCTTTCCCCCCCCTCTTCCTTCATCAAGCTCCCGCCCCCGTGATCTTGAGTCTCTTCTTCCTCCTCGCCCTTCCGGAGTCCCGTCCCTGGTCTTCTGCTTGCGAGGCCGCCTGGCTACCGCCGTTCCGACGCCCCCTGATCGTCGTCAGGCTACCGCCAATCCGACGCCTCATGCCGATTATTAGGCTATTGCCAACCCGACGCCACTGCAGCGCGCCCTCAAATCGCCGACGTCCCACCCAACGCCGCGGCTCTTGCCAGTCCGACGCCCCCCCCTGCACGCCTCTAGGGTGTCTGGGCCACTTGGCGGATCTTGGGCATCCTTGAGGGTACATTCGGTATATTTGGTTACTTTGGGCTGCGTTGGCTACCTTGGGCATCCTTGGGGGTACATTCGGTGCGCGGGGACTGTCTTGGAACCGTCTTGGCACGCCTTGGCAGCCTCGTAGTTCGTGGGCATGGTTTCAGGCCTTGTGTTTCTCCATGCACTTAGGTGCCCCCCCCGCCCACCCTCCCCGCCCCCTCCAAAAAAAAAACCGTGGGCTTTGGAAGGCCACACAGGCCGTCATGATATCATTCATGTGGTCCCTCGTTCATGCTGTGGGACCTCGGTGCAATCGCCCCTCCTCCTCCTCCTTCTCCTCCTCCTCCTCCTTCTCCTCCTCCTCCTCCCCCTCCTCCCCCTCCTCCTCCTCCCCCTCCCCCTCATCCTCCTCCGCCTCCTCCTCCTCCCCCTCCTCATCCTCCTCCTCCTCCTCCTCCTGCCCCCCCCATCCTCCCCCCCCCTCCCGCGGCGCACACACGCCAGTGTTTCGCCGACTGGCCGCATTTGGGCCGTTGCATGCGGGCGATTTGCAACCGCGCCCTTGCATCCTTGCCGACCAAGGCCATTTGACCAGCGGCTAACCTTTCTCTGCGAAGGCAGAGGTGACGGTCCAAGCGCATTGTGATCTTTACAAGGTTTCTTCTGGCCCGGCGTGCTTCGGCGCTGTTTTCGCTCAGGCCAATTTGTGGCGGTGCACGTCGGCACCTTTTCAGGCCCCCGCCTCCCTTCGGCTTGCCCTGACCCTGCGATGGCGAGCGCTGGCGCAGCGTCTGCAGCGTCTGCAGCGCCCGCTGCCAAGGAGCTCGTGGCGGCGTTCCACGAGTGGCCGAAGACTAACAGGAGTTGGCAGCTAGCCACCATGAAGCGCTACGCCCGCTACGTGGGGCAGATGCTCGAGGCCGAGGCTCACGCGTCGGAGACCTTGGACCGCGCCGTCGAGCGCATCACGACGGAGGGCTACTCCGACATGGTGGCGCAGATGTGGAACGACGGCGGGCAGCACACGGGCAGCGTGAAGGCGTTCGGTGCCTTCGCAGCGACGAGGGGGCGCCCCGCGCCAAAGGCGGGAGATGTCAAGGCCGCGAAGAATGCCAAGAAGAAGGCCAAGAAGATCATCTCTGCTCATGGGGCTGGTTCCAAGTCGAAGAAGCGCAGCAGATCTTCGTCGTCTCCCTCTTCTTCGTCCAGTTCGACGAGCTCGTCGGGCGACCCGACCACGCCGAACGCACCGACCACGCCGAAGCTGAAGTCGCCAAGGGCATCGTCTCCCATGCCGACCGAAGAGCTCCGCGGGCTCAGCATTGGCAGTTCTACATCGAGAAGCCAAGTGCCAGCACCCCCTCTGGCCTTGAGGGCACCGACGCCCGCGAGGGCGGCTCTGAAGCGCCCCGACTCGGAACACAAGCTGGCGGAGACGGCGTTCAAGGTCAAGGACATCCAGGTGGAGATCGCGAGCTACAAGGAGGACAAGTTCTTGTGGTACAAGGATCCTGGCTCGACGGTGGAGTGCAGCTACTGCGAGACGCTCGAGCAGCGCTTGAGGGGCTGGATGGCGCCGAAGCCGAACAGGTCCGCGTTCGCTGCGGAGGACTTCTACTGCCAGCACTGCTCCTGGTGGTTTCGCCAGGAGCCTGGGCGGTATCAGCGCTTCATGGAGGGGATGGAGCGCCCTCCGTGGGGTCTGCCGAGGGGCATCTGAGTCGACGTGCGCAGGCGCGCACGCTGGTGTTCTCTCCCCTCTGCCCCAGATCGACGATTCGACGATCCAGCAATCCACGGTTCGATCGATCGGTCGATCGATCGATAGCGCAATCGATTGCTCAACGAACCATCACGCGGTCGACCATCAAGCCATCGACCGATCGATCGATCGACCGAGCGGCTGATCGACCTTCGACCGATTGGTTGGTTATCGGCCGATCGGCCAATCGCCGATCAGCCTTGCGATCAGCAGCCCACCAAACCTCATCTCGTTCTCTCTTGCAGCGCCCAGCAGCGCCCGTGGTAATTCATTGAATTCGCGTCTGCGCTGCACGACGCAATCGTCCGACGTGCTGCGCCATCGATCGAGCTGCGCCGTCGGGCTTGCTGATCCCCGCGGCCCGTGGGGCCGTCTCTCAGCGTGGTCTTGGAAACGATTGTCAATCGTCGCATCGCCTCCACTTGGAGCCGCGCCTCATTTTGAGCGGCTAGCCACTCAACATGGGGCGCAACAGTGTTTCGGATATTTTTTTGTTACCCGCTTTTTGGGCCAGGAGGACTCACTCGGTCCTCCAGGCCCCGCAACTCCAGGAGGCGGCCCCAGGCGGGCCGCTCCCTGGAGGCGAGCACGGGGGGCCGCGCGTGGCCCCAGCGAAGCAAACAATGACACTCTTCCTCCTCCTCCTCCTCCTCCTCCTCCTCCTCCTCCTCCTCCTCCTCCTCCCCTCCTCCTCCTCTCCCCCTCCTCCTCCTCCTCCACCTCCTCCACCTCCTCCTCCTGAAGACGAGGCCTCGTCTTCCTCCTCCTCCTCCTTCTTCTCCTCCTTCTCGCCCTCCTCCCCCCATCTCCCTTCCTCCAGCGTCCCGCCCCTCCCTGCTCCTCCTCTCATTCACCGCTCCTCCGTCCTCCTCCTTACTCCCCTTCTTCTACTCCCCCTACCCCCTCTTCCACCTCCTCCTCCTTCCTCCTCCCCCGTCCTCTTCCTCCTCCTCCTCCTCCTCCTCCCCTCGTTTCGGTGCAGACCGCGCGCGGTCCCCGGCCCCTGGAGGACGTTCTTGAAACCGCGTGGCCATGTGGACCTCAAGAGGTCCTACCCGTGGACCTCAGGAGGTCCCACCCGAGTCCCCTGGCATAAAACGGCGCCGATCTTAGAGGGGAGGGAGGAGGAGCAGGAGGAGGAGCAAGGGGACGAGGGTGAGCAGCGGAGTGCATAGGGATACGGGCGTTGAGGATGACGAGAACGATACGCACCATCATGATGCTGACGAGGGCGAGGAGGGTGGATGGGGATATGGATGAGGAAGGTGAGACGCAACGGGAGACGGTGGGGGCGGCTGCGAAATGGGTGATTCGGCTTAGCGACGTTGCATTGTTGTCGTCGTTTTGTCTCTGATGTTTTCGTCGCTGGAGGCCGCTTGCGCCCCCCCCCCCCGCGGTCCGCCCCAAGGGGGGCGCGCCCGTTTCGTGGCCATCCTGTTTCCCATGGGGCACCGTTGGGCGAAAACGCGGAAACCGACAAAGGTGCAGCGTCGTCGTCGACGTAGCCGCCGATGTCGTCGTCGGGGGTCGCTTGCCGTTGCCGCTGTCGCTGTGGCTGCTGCTGCTGCTGCTCTTCTTCTCCTTCCTCCACCTCCTACTCCTACTCCCCCCTCAGGCCGGCAGATAGCGGGCGCATCCGGGTGGTCCCATCCTAACCTGTAAAAAACAATACAAAATCAACATTTTTCTTATTTTTTCCTCTCGACATGGACGTCCTGTCGTCCACGGCGATAATCCATTGCAAAAAATACCACAAAGAGCACACGCGCGCGTTCATGTCAGAATCCTACCGAACACCGTGTGTTTGCAAGCATTTCAACATAAAAACATCAAAAACCCAATGCTTTTTCACAAAAATTGTACAAATTTCCCGCCCGGGCTCTCTTGCTGAAATCATAGGAAAACCATAGGAATCTTAAGAATTCGGTCAAATCCAGCGATTTCACGTCATCGCGCGGTGCACTCGCGATGCTCTGTCATGCACCCAGGCCGCGAATCCTGTGCAAAAAATACCACAAAGAGCACACTCGCGCGTTCATGTCAGAATCCTACCGAACACCGTGTGTTTGCAAGCATTTCAACATAAAAACATCAAAAACCCAATGCTTTTTCACAAAAATGCTTTGGGGTGTCCTGTCAGACCGTCGGGCTTCCTCCGGCCACCTCTGGCTTCCTGCGGTGTACCGGGCCATTCTCGACTCGTCTGGCAATGCGTGCGCGGCATTCAACACGCGCTCGCCAGTTCCCGTCGGCAACCGCCATCGCGGCCGCATCAGCTGTACCAAACCGGCTGGCCGGTGTGACTTCGGCCCCCAGTTGTGCCAGCTTTGCTTCTTATGTTGTGGGAGGGCGGGTGGGACTGGGCATGCCATGCTTGACTCGCTCGAGCTGGCTAGCTTGACTCCTACTCCTACTCCTACTCCTACCCCTGCTCCTACTCCTACTCCCTACTCCTACCCCTGCTCCTACCCTCACTCCTTCTTCCACTCCTACCACTCCCACTCCGACCACTCCTGCTCCTGCTCCTCTCCTACTCCTAATCCTGCTGTTACTCGTTATTGCTACGCCTACTCCTGATCTGTCTTCTTCTGCTTGCCCTCCTACTCATCCTCCTACTCATCCTTGCCACGGCTCAAGCACCTAGCGCTAGCGCCGCCGTGGCGCTCGGATTGCGGCAGCCGCTGCAGTTGCAGTCGGATGCGCCATGCGGCTTCTGTCTCAAAGCGCGGTGTGTCTGCAGGGTGCGCGCCGAGGGAACGTTCGCTCCGTCTCCATCCTCCTCCTCATCCTCCTCCTGCTGCTCCTCCTCCTCCTCCTCCTCCTCCTCCTCCTCCTCCCTCCTCCCCTCCCCTCCCCCCCGTCATCCTCCTCCTCCTCCTCCCCTCCTCCTCCTCCTCCTCCTCCTCTTCCTCCTCCTCCTGAAGACGAGGCCTCTTCTTCTTCCTCCTCCTCCTCCTTCTCCTCCTCCCCTTCCTGTTCCTTCGTTCCTCCTTTTGATTATCATCGTCCTCCCCTCCTCCTTCCTCCTCCTCCCCCCTCCTCCTCCTCCTTCTCCCCCTCCTCCTCTCCCTCCTCCTCCTTCTCCTCCTGGCAACGGCTCGGACATGCTAGCGCCGCCGTGGCGCTCGCCGCCGCATCTGCTGTAAGATGCCGCTCGAAGCGTTCGGACCGCGGGGATTGTTTGGGCGCGAACCGCGGTGACCGCATCCGCTCCTACTGATCAGGGGTCGCCATGCGAACCCTGCCGTTGGGGCCGTCGGTGCAGATCCCCATGGGGCCACGAACCGCGTGAGGGGCTTGCCGACATGGGGAGGGGCCGCCATGCGAACCTCTCCCCCTCCGTTTCCTCTGTTGCGTTCGTGCGCCAAGAGACCAAGAAGACACACATTATGAAATGCAAAAATAACTCAACAACTTATTTTTGGAAAATATGTCTAACTTATGTTTTGTATTGTTTCTTATTTTTGCAAAGGAAATACATCGTTTAGTTAATTTTTACAGCTGACTTACTTTTTTATGTCGTTGAGCCATGGGTAGTGATGCCGAAGCGGCCTGCCGGGCCAAACCTGCTTGTAGTAGGGTCCGGGGGCGCCGCCGCTACCTTAGCGCGGGCCCTGCTCTTCGCCTTCGCATTCGGAGCCGTCGGCCGGGGGATGCGCACCGCGACAAAGTCCACATCCGGACAGGGCGTGTCCACCAGAACCCTCTTCCCGAGATGCTCGGCCCCGATCGGCTCCAGCGGATTGACGTCGTAGGAAGCCGTCTGGTTGCTCACGCAATGGTTCTGGTCGAGACCGTACTGCGTCACCACGCGAATGCAGTGCCCCATCCCGCCGTCCTGGCCCGCGTCCTCCTCCAGGATGTAGTTGAGCACCGCGCTCCCTTCGCCGTGCATGCGAATCGACGCCTCGGGAACGATCCGCATGGGCCTGCCTGCGACCGTCCTGGCCCTTGTCACGCCCATGCGGGCTGCTTCTTCCGTCGTCATATCGACAAGGAGGCCAGGGAAGAAGAACTTGCGCATCTCATCCGCGGTCACGGCTACGCGCTGGTCGCTCTCAATGCCGTTTGCAGTGCCCAGAATGAATTCTGGCTCGCGCACAATCTCACTCACCGCCGCGTCGGGGAGCTCCTCTCGCAGGGACTCCTTGTAGCGAGTCTCGATGGACGACATCTTGACGATTTTGGCGCGCAGGGCTCCCTCTGCGGACTTGAACGGGATTTGAGGAAATTGGCCCTCAATGATGCGCTGCTCGATATGATGCGCGCGCGGGATGAGCGAGCCAGCACCGATAGTGCGCGCGTTGGCCTCAACTTTTGAGGTGAAGAAGTTGGAGGTGCATTTCCGGGCCAACACCCCCGTGGCCGCCGACTTCGCGTTGTCGCGCAAGGCGGACAGGCCGATGGAGAACGACACGCTGCCCTCCGAGTGCCGCACTGCCCATAATCCCTGCTTTGTGGATATGCGACGGGCATAGGATATCGGATCCTTTGCCGATTGGACCAGGGTACCTTGCTCACGCTTACGATCCTCCCGATTCTGGTTGCCAGTCTCCCAGCAGGCGGCATTTCCTCGTGCATTCCACACGGTTTCCCAATATGCTGCATATACCGCTCTGGTGAACGAAAGGCCGCCGCGAAGGCGCCACCTCTCCTGGGCTGACGCGGCCCCGCTGAGCGAGGCGAAGAGCGTCGCCAATTGCCCCAA